AACAAAGACCCCATTCCCATGTCTAGATCGATCTAGAAGGATTGACCGATCTCTGAGGGGATTCTCGCTAAATTGCTTTCAGCTTGTGCAGGTTAGATGTCTGGCTACTGAAGCTGCTAAGACATAGTTAATAACACCCTAACAACTTTAGTAGGCGTGCCAGACATCAGAGACGCTTAAGCTGAAAGCATTTTAACGTGAATTCCCCCCCTCCCCACCTTGGAGACAGACCAACCCCCTAGATTGATCTAGGTATCGGAATGAGGTCAAAGATTCAAGTTGCTGACCAGCATCAGAAATCATGGCCAGAATGTTCAACAAATTTACAAAGTTTTAATGGCCCAGCTTCAATTGCATCAGCATTATGCAATTAAGGGTCAATAACTGTTCATGGCTCAGACAACAGAAGTGACATTGACAATGGAGGCATTTAAGATCCAACAAACACGTCTGGGACAGTGTCAATGCTGAAAACTCACAGTGTCAAAGCTGAAAACTCACTGGTAGCTGCACTCGGTTCTCCTGAACTGAAGCGACCTCTGTATCTCCCGCTATACATATGCTCAAGCCAAATGTCTTGTGGTCTGATAATTGTCAAAGCTGTGGTATTATCCCTGGAGAAGTTTTGTCCCAGAACAGGATTGTCATCTCTGCTGGTGTTGTGATACTGGAAGTTGTACATAGTTGGATCAGCAGCCTAATGGGGAGGATAACAAAATTTTATGTACCCATCTATAATAATATGTATGCATCATTTATAATAATATATTCATGCATTTTAAACAAATTATGACCCTTTGCCAAAATGTGGCCTTTAAATTACCAATTTCAGACATAAGTAATAATCTGTTTGATTGCTACTGATTGAAAGACTTCTAATTATTCTAGAAAGATAAATCATTCACGAGCAGAGAATACAAAAATATTACAATTGCAGAATACACTAAATATATAATTAACTTAATTAGCAAAACAAAACTTCTATTTTCACTTATGTTGATGTCCCCAACATGCATATACTCCAGATGTTCATATACAGCAGTAGCATAACAAAAGAAACGATTTGTTCACTATAGATATACTCCATGGCACATCACATGTGAGTATGCTGTTCCAAAGATGTTCTACCAAGCTAAAATCTAAAACATCTCTTCAAGTACTAGTATAGAGGTTGCTCTGGGGCAAACACACAGAACATGTTCAGCTTTTTTAATTTCACCACAGATACATTTCAGACCCTCTAAAGGGACTCGAGACCAGCAGCCCTTTTCTACAGCCAGGTTGTCTGATGACAATCTGTGCTGAGTTGCACTGATTCAAACTCTTTAATTAACATCCTTGTCTGTATTATTAAAGGGATAATAACTCTTCGTATGAGATCCATATTTCACAATAAAAACATTGTGAACCCCTCATAGAAATATAATATATTCTGTTTTACCACTGATGGTTATACTCTGTTATAATCTCTGGGGCAAATACACAGAATATGTTCAGAGATTATAACAAAAAAAAAAAAAAGGACTAACTTTGAATATAAAAATGGACTCATTAACCATAGGTAAGTATGGGAAAATTGTTGTTTACTCCAGGAAAATTCATTTTTTGGCCAAAAAGAAGAGTTATTATCCCTTTTATTTCTGAGATGGTAGATCTACATACTGTAAGTCGTATAAAGATAACAGAGATTAAGATATCTGATTTTAGAATATAACAGATGTTAGAAGTTATACTTAGACATAAAAATGGGCTGCAGTATTGAGGGTGTATAAAATATGAAAGATTATATGTATTTTTTTATTCTTTCAATATATTATGTACAAATTATACTTAGGGAGGCTACCATCTACACCATTTTGACAATTCCCTCAGTACACATACTGCTGCTTCTCTTGTGGTTTGACAAGAACACTGGACACAGTGTGTAACTGTACAAAAAAGAACAGATGATATGCCCCCCTTAATGTGACATACTTTTTTACATAAGTTATCATTCAGCATTCCTTTTTGTTGGTGCATTATGGCCATTTTTCCCAGATAAGTTTATGTGGATTTATTTCTACATGGAATCTTTTCAAAGAAAAATTCTGTATTATGAAAAATTTACAGGCAATGGGATATATTTGGTAAAGAAAGAAGCAGGTATGTGTCCAGGCGCATTTTGCTAAAGGGTCATATCCAAGTCAAGAAAGTTACTGCAATCAACGACAATGACACGCATGCACGAGCTCAGTAAAAATGACAATAATCAAATCCAAGGAAATTTCTAAATGACAAACAGCTGAGACTAAACTTAATAGATGGATTAGGGCGGGCGGGGGAGGGGGCGGGGAAAAACATGTACTGGTGCTCTAGCTAGCATGCTTTACTTACCTCCTTGTCTCTAAGGGTGCTTTCCCAGAGATTTAGATCGATCTAAAGATTATGTTTTAGATCGACCTAACTCCCTGGGGGTTCACGCTAAATTGAAGTCAGCCGAGCAGGCACCATAGTTAATTACCCCCTTACAGCTTTTAGTAGCCGTGACAGACGCTTAAGCCGGCCAAGCTGACAGTAATCTAGTGAGACTCCCCACAGGGATAGATCGATATAAAAATCTATGGAAATGGGGTGTAAATCCACTCATTGACTAGCTTATTTATTTTAAAAATTTAATTGCCTCCTCCTCCCCCCATTACACACACACACACCTCCCCGTGAACAACATGTGGAATGCACACGTAAGGTGAGGGGCAAAGAGAGTATCGATACTTGTCCAATATTCACTACAACATATACCAAAGTGCGCCAATTAAAAAAAACTCTGGGAGATCATGCTTTCGCACAGACCTTATATATAAGTTTATTTTTGCATTGTTTTTTGTTCCCATTTTTATTAAATTTCCATCAATATATTTTCTCCACAAGACAAGTGGCACATGCAATTCGAAAGAAAATAAACGCAACTGACTATCAAAGATAATTTCAATCAAAACATTCTCACCTGTTAGAACCTCAATACCTCAACTTGTTTTCTTGGTTGGACTGTTCAAGTTCCTGTTCAAGAGCCATGCACACTTTAAAAGCCTAGTGCTGTCATTTTAATCTTCTGTCTATAACTTTAATGATCCTCCTCCGGTACTAATTGTAAGCAATTAGCCATGCTAGCCAGAAAAGATCAATTTGCTGTATATTTTCCCGGGGCAATGATCTAGGATGACACACCACGTTTTCACTTTTCAATATTCTGCGCGTTGGGCCACGAGAAGAGTCCACTATTCCAAGGGGAGTTGGGATGGCCGTCTGCCACTCAGTTCTCAGACTGTCGAAAAATGAGGCAAAATAAATGGCTAAATAACTTGACGAGTGAACATTTAAAGCACTTTTCTGAGCTTACTGGCATTTTTTTTCCGATTCCAGTAACGAAGAAGGCATATTTATGGCAGTGAGGTGAGATTCGTATGACCCTTAATTAGAATGGTACTAGGGATCACGGTAACAAGCATTACGTAATAGTTTAATCGCCTTTTTAAAACTCGGTAGTCGTCTTTCTAATTATGACGTATTTTGGAGCAGGGGCATTTAAGAATTTCATATTGTAAAAAAAGATCAGTAACTGTACAATATGATATTCCCAGTTAGTCTGATAAACACGTACGTGAATAGATTTGTCCCCAAATTACATCGTATCATATTAAAGCGCTTTATTCCTCTTTTATAAGCGGATTGGCGACAGACAAACTATACATTGTATGTAGTATCTCTACTTGTACTATCTGACGATTTGGTGCACTAGTAGTAGTAGTAGTCTATTAAAAATTATTGTGTTCACGCTTTAATTTTGTATACTATTTTAGAGGCCCCTGATATCAGAAGATGCTCTACTTGGGGTTCACGGCGGCAGCAGATGATCACATAATATACTCAGTACATGTATTACTTGTGCGGTGGAAAAAGTGAAACACTGAGATAAAGCATGAAAGCATTTTCCTACAAAGGTAAAAAAGATAAAATATTTGAATTTGTTAAAAGTGAAAATTAAATAATAATAATGATAATAATAATAATAATTTCTACAAAAATAATATAGTTATAATGAAATGATTAAAAGCATATTAATGTTGTTCATGAAAGAGGAGGTATATTTTACACACAAACTAAGAATTAAGCCTTATTAAGGTTCCAAGAATAAATATAGTATGAATGATATGGTTGAATAAACTAAAGGCTATATAGGAGTCATTATATATCAACTTACAAGCAAATGAAGATAAATACAGAAAAATTGCCATCTTGGACGGTGCACTATTTTTCATAGTCTGTTAGGTCATAATTCAGGATGGGAATTTTAAGAGTCGGCTGTACAGTACTATAATATCATAAGTTTTACATGTACATACAGTACTATAATATGCAGGCCCGTACCCAGGGGGGTTCGGGGGGTTTGAAAGAACCCCCCTTTTTGCTGGAAAAAGGTCCACTCTGGGTAAAATTTGACCTAGGTACATGGGGATTATATGGTAAAAGGTCCACTTTTTCAGAAAAAGACCCCCCCCCCCCTTTGAAATTGCTGGCTACGGGCCTGATATGCTAAGTTTTAGATACAGGATTATTTTAAGGGGGGGGGGTGCGTTGTTTGTAGGAAAGATAGGCCTCTGGTGTGAAGCCACCCCTGGCCCCCTTGGCCTGAGGTTCGGGGCCCACTCAAGGGTCCAAAATTTGTGATTTTATTTCAGAAAAGGAAGAGGGGAGTCAGGAGGTCCTGAGCAACCCCCCCTCCCCCATAAAAAAAGATCTGCCACTGAATCTGATAACTGGAAATTAATCCACAAGGAAGGTTATCAGTAATCCTCTGGCTTTTTGAGTCACTGGGAAATAAAAATGACAAAGGCATGATAGTAGCAATAAATTTATTATTATTTAAAGAGACATGACGGTTATGCTGTTGTTCCGATTATCTGTATCAGATTATCACCATATTGGTTATCAGTAAGTGCTATTGTTTGCTTTTCACTGTTGATACTTGACGCCAGCTAGCTAGGAGAGCTTTAATGTGGACAACACTTAATTGGAAAGTTATTATAATTTCTGATTCATGTTCTTGTAGGTGAGCACAATTTTGTTTATATAAATATTTATAATTATACCAAGATATACTTGGAAGATGTAATAGCTTGGCAATCATAATTTTAGATATCGGTAACTCTGTTTAAGATCAGTTATATTTATTCACGTTAAATTTTGCACATTGACTGGTTCTATTAGAAACTGTGATTGAGTTGGTTTTCGAATTTTCCAGCTGACTTTAACTGGGGGTATAGTTACATAGTATACATTCAGATAATGAGTATACAGTGCATGGTGTATCACAAGACTTGATCTGGTCCAATAATCTCTGTTCTGGCACACTTAAAGTCAAGCATCGTAGGGTCATTAAGTGTTCTGTACATTTAACAGGTTGAAGATGTATTCACAACTGAAATAACTCGAAATGGAAAAAAATCAGTAATTTAATCACCCAAGGATCACATTGCTATAAACAGCATATCAAAATTTCTCAAATGAGATAGGGTCTCCCATGGAAGAGGGTAGGGAATACCTTTTGTGTCGGGCCCTTTGTGTCCTGTGTGATTGGCCTTATTTTTCAAGTGTGATGCGTTATTTGAACCCAATATTCTGTATGAAACATAATTCAGGAATTCTTGGTGATTGGTCTGATATATATCTTGGTGATTTGGGAGTGGGGGGTATTCCCTACCCTTATGGAAAGCAGTTTTAATGTCTCTACATAGTATGGATACAAACATGTACATATTTAGTCTAAGTTAATCTAGCTGTGAATGCGTCTGGGTATCAGTGTTGAATAAAATTTGAAGCAAAGAGTTAAACAAGGGGCCATAATTGAAGTCGCTACAAATACATTTTGTACTCAAATTAAGTTTGTTCATGTGAGATAGGGTTGAGATCGAGTTACAACTGGAATACTAGCTGGCAGAGTCATTCAATTGTCTTTCCTTGAATACAGGTATCTAATAGAGTGGCTGCGGAAAAGATCAGAAACTGAGTACATATACTTGATTGCACATTTGAAAAGGATTACCAATACCAAAGATAATTTTGCTCAGTGCCATTTCCTGGACAGTATTCTTGTAGCTCTGTGGTACAAACATAAACACACAGCTTGTCAAATATGCCACATAGAGGAAGAAGCAATGACACTTCAAGACGAGGCTTAAAACGATCTGCAAGTAAAGACCACCGTCATGTGTCCATTTTTGATGTAGTTCCATCTGAAGGGGATTTTGCGACGACCTCAGACCCTGATCAGCTGACTGCCTGCACTTCTCAGGATGAAATAAAGGTATTAACAGCTAGGAGTCGGCTACGACCTAGATATGTAACTCTATTAATACTTAATTTGTGTTGTAGTCTACTATTAGACTGTCCTGAGTTTCACATGTCTATAGACATGCAGATACTCTAGATCTGTTATTGTTGGCAGTGGGTGGATTGGTGTACGTACTGTATTGAAATTTAAAAGATATATCCCTCGACAAAATCATCTAAATGAAGTTTTAAATACAACCAGCCTCAGTATTTGTCTCTGTGTACTTCTCCAATGCATCTTGAAAAAAAGAAACAAAAAAAAAAACAGAGTATTATGCCATGGATCCTATTTAATGCCATGGCATGCTTATTTGTTTCCATTTAGGAGGGTTTCACTGAAAGTCCCACAGCCCAGGATCTGCTTTTGGCCAAGCTGGTGAAAGATGGGGTGATAGAGGAAGAAGACAGGCCTCAGTTCCACAAAGTTATACAGGTACGGGTAGATACAGACAGAGATCAGAAACAAACATTCATGGTATGTCTTATATTAAGTAACTTAGACCCCATTCCCCTACCTAGATGGATCTAGCAGGATCAACCCATCTTCAACAGATTTCTTGCTAAATTGTGTTCAGCTTAAGTGACTCTGATGTCTGACATACCAACTGAGCTGTTAGGGGGTAATTAACTATCGTTTAGCAGCTTCACTAGGCATGCTTCAGTTTTATCCCTGAGTTTTTTCCATCTATTTTTGTTATTTGCATACTTTGCAATATTGAATCTTAAAAAAATATGTTGATTTCCGCTCAGGATGCTAGAAGATCTGGAGATGCAGAAAGGCTGCTCATCATGCATCTTGTTAAGGTAGGAAAGCCATACAACTTATAAAGGCTCCAGGTCCACATTTTTAATGTTTATCTTAATAAGTTTATCTTAATAAGTAATTCACAAAAGCACAGTTTAAGCCCAATTACCTTTCTAGAACTTTTGGGCCATCTTTCTTATAAATAGCCATGTTTAGAAAATAAAGGTAATCAGTTTTATTCATATTAGGGAAAAATAAATAAACGTATTGATCTAGTAACTTTATATATCACAGTCAGGGAAGGTGCAAGTTGACAAAGCAGTGTCCTATGCTGAAGAGCTGGGATTGTCCCCCAAACCTGTGTCTGCCCCAGTGCAGATGCCACATTCAGGGGTTGTGCCAAGGCACCACAGTGGAACTGTTATGGTGCCACAGCCTAAGGCAGAGGTGAAACTGGTGCACAACTTTGGCGTGTATGTTTGGCATGGCTCTAGAAACCTAGGCAAGAGGATTGTACAGGTGAAACATTCAGTCCGCATAAAATCAGGGGGGGGGGGGGGGGGAGCTGTCTCAATTCTGGGTCTTCTGGAACAAGGTCATAATTTTTTAAGTTTACATGAAGGGGCATCTAATTTTTTCTGTTGGAAGACAGTCAAAAATGGAGGATGGATCAACAAAGATAATTTGGAAGAATGTCAGAAAATATATCTGGATCTACTCATAAAAATTGTATATTTTAAAAGTAATTTTTTTCTCATGATGGCTTAGATTTAACTTTGGTTATTTTTTGTCTTGTTTTGTTGTAGTTTGATTTCCAAAACAACATTTTGTGCTGCATACAAAAGGGTAACGTCACCAAGAGACATGACTTCACAGAGATAACCAACTTTGAAAATGGGGTAAGGCCATCAAAACCAATGATTGTGTCAGTTGTACTGTCAAGTGAACAGATGACCTCATAAATGTATTAGGTGTGATGCCAAGGATCTTATCCTGATACAATCAGTTGCCAAGCAATCATAATGTGTGTTCTAAAACTGTTGCTAAAGTATGTATTTTTCTTTCAGTTTAATATCTTATCAACTTATTGCATTACAGGTATTTAATAATATAAATGATAGCCATTGGGAATAGCCATTGTGACTGGTATTACAAAAGCTTCACTTTTTGGAGGGGGGCAAGGCACTAGCTTGCATGTCTTATAACGCACCTTATTTTGTCAGTGCATTTTGAGGCATTTTCATGGAGATTATTAATAGTGAGAGTAATAAAGATAAAAAAGCTAAATTAAACCAAATGAAATACAGAGGCATAAGGATTCATGAACTTAGATTCTTGCTTGCAGTACGACTTTGTTACATCCTATGCTTCACATACTGAATGACTGGTTGACTGCAAAGAAATTCAGTAATTTTTCTAAACAGATATTGAACTTAAAAATTTCATTTCAGTACAATCTGTACCTGTCCATCAAGTTCATAGATGGAAGTGATCTGGAAATGGATGCAGACAGCATTGAGGAAAAACACAAAATTCTTCGCTTGCTTCAAGTGGTTTCAGATAAAAATCTGCATATAACCAGAGAAGATGAGGGTAAAGTAAATGCTGAAGATGCATCTTTATATTTCATATGTGCATGCAGGGTATCTGAAAATGCAGTGATCATGTGTTAGTAGCAATGCCAAAGTTGTCTACTGATTTTTTTGTGCTGTGATTTAATGATAATTTAAATAAATGATTGATCCATTTGAACAGCAAGTTCATGTGAACCCTATTCAAAGACCTTTGGGCCATTTTTGACTTTCTTCATTGATATATGATTTTTACCATAAGCATTGTTGAGATTGTATTTGGTATTAGCTGTTTCATTCACTTGCATTTTTTTTCAAAATTTACAACAGCTGATTAAAATTTGGAATCTTTTGTTCAGTTTTATATAAATGGTTTTATTTCAGTTAGCTAATTGAAATTGAAATAAAAGTATATGTTGCTTCTTTAAACATAAAAATGGCAATAAAATATTTATATCTTTACTTTTAAGCATAAAAATGTGATTGAAATATTTAATTATCATTTTGTTTACATTTGTTTTAGAAGAAGATGTATTGGACTATTCTTCCAACTTGATCAAATATGAGACGGTTCTAAAGGAAGGTATCCTGCAGAAAAAATCTAAGTTTTCCCGTCCCTTTGGAAGTACCTTCTCGAAGTAAGACATGATCCTTACCTAGATCATTCATAGTGTGCATTCAGAAAAGTGGACTAAGACTGCATTCACATCGAGTTGAGCCATGCCTCTACAAAGCCATGAATTAAATATGGCGGACGTACATGAAAGGAGAACCGCCTAATCTTTTAATAGTCTCTCTGCCTCTCACACGCCTCCCCATGTGTCGTCCCAATGGAGCCGAGATTTAATGACTGTACCCCCGCAGGGATGACGCATAACAGATCTGTGGATCAAATATGGTGACCCACTAAAAAGATTGTCACTTAATTCCAAAATAGATTCCCTGCAGGGATTATGCAACAGGCATTCAAGTGGGTCGGCCATATTTGATCCAGGGATCTGTTAGTCTGCTGTTCTGAATGCACTAATAGAGTTTTCAGTCATGTCTGTCAACCTCTCCCACTACCAAGTAACAAAGTCTATTGAAAATGCTCCTCTGCAATAACCTGTACACATATGGCATTTACTGAAATGGGATAGAATGTCAGTTTTCTGAAACTCATGGTGTTCTTTACACATGAATTGTTTTTGTAATCTCTTGCACAAACGCACACTGTGACAGTGCTCTTTATGAAAATGGGAGAATGAGGTCACAGTCAGAACAGTGGACTAACTATTTTGTGGGTCAGATATGGCTACCCACTAAAAAACTTGCCATNGCTTTTTTTTTTTTTTTTTTTTGGAGAACGGGCGAAAATCCGTGCGCGCGCAGGATGTCATCCATAAAATTAAAAAAGTGTGGCCTAATATGGATACAAACATGTACATATTTAGTCTAAGTTAATCTAGCTGTGAATGCGTCTGGGTATCAGTGTTGAATAAAATTAGCAGCAAAGAGATAAACAAGGGGCCATAATTGAAGTCGCTACAAATACATTTTGTACTCAAATTAAGTTTGTTCATGTGAGATAGGGTTGAGATCGAGTTACAACTGGAATACTAGCTGGCAGAGTCATTCAATTGTCTTTCCTTGAATACAGGTATCTAATAGAGTGGCTGCGGAAAAGATCAGAAACTGAGTACGTATATACTTGATTGCACATTTGAAAAGGATTACCAATACCAAAGATAATTTTGCTCAGTGCCATTTCCTGGACAGTATTCTTGTAGCTCTGTCACTGTGGTACAAATAAACACACAGCTTGTCAAATATGCCACATAGAGGAAGAAGCAATGACACTTCAAGACGAGGTTTAAAACGTTCTGCAAGTAAAGACCACCGTCATGTGTCCATTTTTGATGTAGTTCCATCTGAAGGGGATTTTGCGACGACCTCAGACCCTGATCAGCTGACTGCCTGCACTTCTCAGGATGAAATAAAGGTATTAACAGCTAGGACTCGGCTACAACCTAGATATATTACTCTATTAATACTTAATTTGTGTTGTAGTCTACTATTAGACTGTCCTGAGTTTCACATGTCTATAGACATGCATGTACTCTAGATCTGTTATTGTTGGCAGTGGGTGGATTGGTGTACCCTACTGTATTGAAATTTAAAAGATAGATCCTCAACAAAATCATCCAAATAAAGTTTTAAATACAACCAGCCTCAGTATTTGTCTCTGTGTACTTCTCCGATGCATCTTGAAAAAAAGAAACAAAAAAAACAGAGTATTATGCCATGGATCCTATTTAATGCCATGGCATGCTTATTTGTTTTCTTTTAGGAGGGTTTCACTGAAAGTCCCACAGCCCAGGATCTGCTTTTGGCCAAGCTGGTGAAAGATGGGGTGATAGAGGAAGAAGACAGGCCTCAGTTCCACAAAGTTATACAGGTACGGGTAGATACAGACAAAGATCAGAAACAAACATTCATGGTATGTCTTATATTAAGTAACTTAGACCCCATTCCCCTACCTAGATGGATCTAGCAGGATCAACCCATCTTCGACGGATTTCTTGCTAAATTGTGTTCAGCTTAAGTGACTCTGATGTCTGACATACCAACTGAGCTATTAGGGGGTAATTAACTATCGTTTAGCAGCTTCAGTAGGCATGCTTCAGTTTTATCCCTGAGTAATACTTTTTCCATCTATTTTTGTTATTTGCATATTTTGCAATATTGAATCTTAAAAAAATATGTTGATTTCCGCTCAGGATGCTAGAAGATCTGGAGATGCAGAAAGGCTGCTCATCATGCATCTTGTTAAGGTAGGAAAGCCATACAACTTATAAAGGCTCCAGGTCCACATTTTTAATGTTTATCTTAATAAGTAATTCACAAAAGCACAGTTTAAGCCCAATTACCTTTCTAGAACTTTTGGGCCATCTTTCTTATAAATAGCCATGTTTAGAAAATAAAGGTAATCAGTTTTATTCATATTAGGGAAAAATAAATAAACGTATTGATCTAGTAACTTTATATATCACAGTCAGGGAAGGTGCAAGTGGACAAAGCAGTGTCCTATGCAGAAGAGCTAGGATTGTCCCCCAAACCTGTGTCTGCCCCAGTGCAGATGCCACATTCAGGGGTTGTGCCAAGGCACCACAGTGGAACTGTTATGGTGCCACAGCCTAAGGCAGAGGTGAAACTGGTGCACAACTTTGGCGTGTATGTTTGGCATGGCTCTAGAAACCTGGGCAAGAGGATTGTACAGGTGAAAGATTCAGTCCGCATAAAATCGGGGATCGAAGCTGTCTTAATTCTGGGTCTTCTGGAAGACGGTCATAATTTTTAAAGTTTACATTGAGGGGCATCTAATTTTTTCTGTTGGAAGACAGTCAAAAATGGAGGATGGATCAACAAAGATAATTTGGAAGAATGTCAGAAAATGTATCTGGATCAACCCATAAAAATTGTATATTTTAAGAGTAATTTTTTTTTCTCATGGTGGCTTAGATTTAACTTTGGTTATTTTTGTTTTGTTGTAGTTTGATTTCCAAAACAATATTCTGTGCTGCATACAAAAGGGTAACGTCACCAAGAGACATGACTTCACAGAGATAACCAACTTTGAAAATGGGGTAAGGCTATCAAATGATTGTGTCAGTTGTACTGTCAAGTGAACAGATGACCTCATAAATGTGTTAGGTGTGATGCCAAGGATCTCATCCTGATACAATCAGTTACCAAGCAATCATAATGTGTGTTCTAAAACTGTTGCCTAAGTATGTATTTTGCTTTCAGTTTAATATCTTATCAACTTATTGCATTACAGGTATTTAATAATATAAATGATAGCCATTGGGAATGGCCATTGTGACTGGTATTACAAAAGCTTCACTTTTTGGAGGGGGGCAAGGCACTGGCTTGCATGTCTTATAACGCACCTTATTTTGTCAGTGCATTTTGAGGCATTTTCATCGAGATTATTAATAGTGAGAGTAATAAAGATAAAGAAGCTAAATTAAACCAAATGAAATATAGAGGCATAAGGATTCATGAACTTAGATTCTTGCTTGCAGTCCGACTTTGTTACATCCTATGCTTCACATACTGAATGACTGGTTGACTGCAAAGAAATTCAGTAATTTTTCTAAACAGATATTGAACTTAAAAATTTCATTTCAGTACAATCTGTACCTGTCCATCAAGTTCATAGATGGAAGTGATCTGGAAATGGATGCAGACAGCATTGAGGAAAAACACAAAATTCTTCGCCTGCTTCAAGTGGTTTCAGATAAAAATTTGCATATAACCAGAGAAGATGAGGGTAAAGTAAATGCTGGAGATGCATCTTTATATTTCATCTGAAAATGCAGTGATCATGTGTTAGTAACATTGCCAAAGTTGCCTATTGATTTTTTGTGCTGTGATTTTATGATATTGATCGATCCATTTGTGCTGCAACTTTTTGTAAACCTTATTCAAATATATTTGGGCCATTTTTGACTTTCTTCATTGATGTATGATTTTTACCATAAGCATTGTTGAGATTGTATTTGGTATTAGCTGTTTCATTCACTTTTTTTTTTTCAAAATTCACAACAGCTGATTAAAATTTGGAATCTTTTGTTTAGTTTTTTATAAATGGTTTATTTCAGTTAGCTAATTGAAATTGAAATAAAAGTATAAGTTGCTTCTTTAAACATAAAAATGACAATAAAATATTTATATCTTTACTTTTAAGCATAAAAATATGATTGAAATATTTAATTATCATTTTGTTTACATTTGTTTTAGAAGAAGATGTATTGGACTATTCTTCCAACTTGATCAAATATGAGACAGTTCTCAAGGAAGGTATCCTGCAGAAAAAATCTAAGTTTTCCCGTCCCTTTGGGAGTACCTTCTCGAAGTAAGACATGATCCTTACCTAGATCATTCATAGTGTGCATGCAGAATAGTGTACTAAGACCGCATTCACATTGAGTTGAGCGATGGCTCTACAAAGCCATGAATTAAATATGGCGGACGTACATGAAAGGAGAACCGCCTAATCTTTTAATAGTCTCTCTGCCTCTCACACGCCTCCCCATGTGTCGTCCCAATGGAGCCGAGATTTAATGACTGTACCCCCGCAGGGATGATGCATAACAGATCTGTGGATCAAATGTGTTGACCCACTAAAAAGATTGTCACTTAATTCCAAAATAGATTCCCTGCAGGGATTACGCAACAAGTATTCAAGTGGGTTGGGCATATTTGATCCAGGGATCTGTTAGTCTGCTGTTCTGAATGCACTAATAGAGTTTTCAGTCATGTCTGTCAACCTCTCCCACTACCAAGTAACAAAGTCTATTGAAAATGCTCCTCTGCAATAACCTGTACACATATGGCATTTACTGAAATGGGATAGAATGTCAGTTTTCTGAAACTCATGGTGTTCTTTACACATGAATTGTTTTTGTAATCTCTTGCACAAACGCACACTGTGACAGTGCTCTTTATGAAAATGGGAGAATGAGGTCACAGTCAGAACAGTGGACTAACTATTTTGTGGGTCAGATATGGCTACCCACTAAAAGACTTGCCAACCAATCTGCTAATAGCCATTTTATAGATTCCCAGTGGGGAAGTATTCATGTGGATCAGCCATATTTGATCTCCGGACTTGTTAGTCCACTGTTCTGAATGCGGCCTGAGGTGTTTTTCTTGATTGTACAAATTGTTACTGGAGGAGTAAACTATTAAGAATCACTAATATAAAATAATCAATGTTAAAGTGTTTTAAACCAGATTTTTTTATTCATATATAACTTAGATGTAAAGGTGATTATTATTTGTAACATCACTATTAATTTTTTTCTCTTTGTCTTGCTTTTACTTTATAGAAAAATTGTTCAGATCAAGAGAGGACAGTTGTCATACAGCAAAATTGGAGAAGAGGCAAGTGTGACCCATCAATAAAGAATCTTTGGGACTGAAATGGGAAATTTGATGTAACATAGATAATGCAGCTGATATACAGGGACAGATTGAGGCCGTCTTCTGGCTCTTCCGGAAGACGGTCAGATTTTCAAGTTTACATTGAAGGATATAATTTTTTTCTGTCGGAAGACGGTCAAAAATGGATGATGAATCAACAAAGATAGTTTGGAAGACTGTCAGAAAATATCTCTGGATCCGCCCTTGATATATATTCTGTAACTGTTGTGTTATAGCTGATTTTAAGTTCTGTCAGTTTTGTCTTTTAAATGTCCGTCCATTTGAAAGCTTTGCAGCATTATGATTAGCCACAGGCACATAGTATACAATGTTAGGTTGTTTTAGAATTTTGTGGAAATGATGCCTGCCTTTGCAGACAAGGTAGACCAGTTTGGACAATTTTTAAGATAAATTCTCAGATATACACATAGACTATTTGGTATCTTATGAAATTCTTATTAGCCTTTTTTTTTCATTTTTTTCTGAAAGCCCAAAGTTGTTCCTTTGACAGCAGAGAAAACGGCCATCACCAAAGTTGGGCATGATACATTTTGCGTGTTGAACAACACTAATACTCTCCTGTAAGTAGGATTAATTATTTAAATGCTGATGACAAATGACACTGTGTCATACTTGATGATGTTTTCACTTTAGGGCACTAGGGTGACAAAGCATTATGCCTCTTTTTTTCACAGCATGCTAGATATGACGTATTATAGTAAATGTTCCCAGTGAGCTGTTATATGTCATTGATTACTAGATAATGATATATGTAGCAGGCCCAATGCCAATTCAGATGGATTCTAACTCCACCTAGGCTCAGTACAAAGATTATTGGCAAAGGACATGCAGTCTTAAGCAAACTTATAATCTGTTGCAGCATATTGCTCTTCGTAATTACAAATTAAAGTGATAATGTAAATAAACAATTTTTAGCTAGACAATTCTCATATGCAGAATTTTAGATGGTTTTATCCTAACATGCCTTTTTGTGTATGTGTCTGTGTGTGTATGACCAGAGCATATTGGGTTGTAAAGTTTCAACCAACTTTGGACTTGGGTCCTTTTGTGAATCTGTCCCCAAACCACTAATTTCTGGGAAAACAGGAATGTGTGTGTGTGTGTGTGTGTGTGTGTGTGTGTGTGTGTGTGTGTGTGTGGTCAAAGTGAGTGAGTTTTTTGAAAGCTTGAATAAGTAGCCATCATTTCATAATTTTTTTTGTACAAAACGCTTTTCAGAAATTCCTTTTCTTTTCTGTTTCCAGATATTGATGTAGTATTTGACGAATATGTTTATCATTGTTGAAAGAGTGAAAATTTATTACATACTTTCGTTGTAGGTTCCGCGTACCATACTCTGGGTTGGGAAGCAAGGCAGGAGTAACTGAACACAGGGATGACTGGGTCAAGGTGCGTAACTGAACACGGGTATGACTGTCCTTAGCAAAAAATTCAGGTCTACCGCAAATTAGCAGCAAGTTTGCTGCAATATGACTGCAAATTAGCATCAAGAAAATTTTTCTTGCAAACTCCTGCAAACTTGTTGCTGCAAACTTCTTACTTGCAGCAATATTGCTGCAAACCTTTCATTTTGCAAAGGGTGGATCAAGGTGGATTACTGAACAAAGGGATAACTGGGTCAAGGTGGGTAACTGAACACAGGGTTGTCTTGGTCAGGTTGGGTAACTGAACAAAAGGATGAGTGGGTCAAGGTGGATAGCTGAACACAAGGATGAGTGGGTCAAGGTGGGTAACTAAACACAGAGATGACTGGGTCAAGGTGGGAAACTGAACACAAGGATGAGTGGGTCAAGGTGGGTTACTGAACACAGAGATGACTTGGTCAAGGTGGGTAACTGAACACAGGGATGACTTGGTCAAGTTGGGTAACTGAGCACAAGGATGAGTAGGTCAAGGTGGGAAATTGTACACAAGGATGAGTGGGTCAATTTGGGTTACTGAACGCAAGGATGAGTGGGTCAAGGTGAGTAATTGAACACAGGGATGGGTGGGTCAAGGTGGGTAACTGAACACAGGGATGACTTGGTCAAGTTGGGTAACTGAGCACAAGGATGAGTAGGTCAAGGTGGGAAATTGTACACAAGGATGAGTGGGTCAATTTGGGTTACTGAACGCAAGGATGAGTGGGTCAAGGTGAGTAATTGAACACAGGGATGGGTGGGTCAAGGTGGGTAACTGAACACAGAGATGAGTGGGTCAAGGTGGGTAACTGAACACAGAGATGACTGGGTCAAGGTGGGAAACTGAACACGAAGATGAGTGGGTCAAGGTGGGTAACTGAACACAGGGATGACTTGGTCAAGTTGGGTAACTGAGCACAAGGATGAGTAGGTCAAGGTGGGAAATTGTACACAAGGATGAGTGGGTCAATTTGGGTTACTGAACGCAAGGATGAGTGGGTCAAGGTGAGTAATTGAACACAGGGATGGGTGGGTCAAGGTGGGTAACTGAACACAGAGATGAGTGGGTCAAGGTGGGTAACTGAATGCAGGGATGGGTAAGTCAAGGTGGGTAACTGAACACAAGGATAAGTGGGTCAAGGTGGGTAACTGAACTCAAGGATAAGTGGGTCAAGGTGGGTAACTGAACACAGAGATGACTGGGTTAAGGTGGGTAACTGAGAATTGGGATGACTGGGTAAAGCTGATTAATTTTACATTATTTACATTATATTTGTATTACTTTCTGATCAATTTTCCCCTTTTCAAAGCAGAACTTTGTTCTATCAATATGAACAATGCAAAAATTTACTCATGTTTCAATGAAATTCTTAGAAATTCTAAAGTTCTATGTTCATTGCTAAGGTAAAGAAATAAAAGCTTGCATTTCTCTTGGGATTAATAACACTACCTTTAAATGGATTTAGCTATAATTCTCTAATAGACTCTTTTCTGTTATGTTTCTTTTATTCTGAGTGGTTCATTCATTCAATTTGAATAGTTGGCTGGTTCCTGTTTCACCAACAGAATCATCTCCAGATCTCCTTTGTATAGCCTACACTTTCTCTCCATGCAAACTCAACCACAAGTACCTGATGTTGTTTCTTAGGCTTCGTTCACATGCAATGTCTATTTTCTAAATTCTATTTTCTATTTGCGCTATCTTATGATCACAGTCTGTGCCCTGAATATCCCGCGGCGTAATTACTGGCAGCGCGAGCCAGTTACTTATAGTAACTTATAGTAACTGGCTCGCGCTGCCAGTAATTACGCCGCGGGATATTCAGGGCACAGACGGTGATCACAACACATGCCGCGAATAGAAAATAGAATTTAGAAAATAGACATTGCATGTGAACGAAGCCTTATACTTAACATTATGAATAACTGACAGATGTGCACCATTTCCTAATTTAAAACAAAATTGATGTACTTGTAAATATATTTTATTTGTTGGAATGATGTTTTGTTAGTGGTACATGTAATGCCTGGTTAGGAATTAAGTTTTGCATGGGGTGTGACTGAATTGCGCAACACACTGCAATACAGCACAACACAGCACAACACACTTGAAAAAACAAGTTCAGTTGGAAGTAAACATGGGAAAGGATAATGTTTAACAAAATATAAAAGTGAAATATATTATTTTCTACTTAATATTGTTGATACAACTCAAATCGGCACAATTTTTTCATCATAGGGTCGGCCGCCATATTGGTGAGTGGCTCTTCATAACCAGTAATATTTCCAAGAAGAGACACTTGCTAACATGGCTGCCAACTCGACGATTTAAAAGTCTTGCCAATTTGTGAAGATTTGTCAACGATATTAATTATCTAGCTATATAGTTTGCTTTTATATCACCCTACTTTGTTGGGAATGACCGTTTCTTTTGTGTAATTGCAACTGGAATTGCTTTTTTCCGGTGTATTGCGCTGTATTGTGGTGTATTGCACAATTCAGTCACACTGGTTTTGCATGTCATTTTTTTTTTTTTTGTGTGTGTGTGTGTGTGTGTGTGTGTGAGTGGTTTGTGTGAGTATATGCCCAACTTAAATTTGGCTTTATGATCTTTTGAATAAACTTTTAATCCATTAAGTATTATAAGTTTTAACCAAGAGGTTAGAGATCAGATGTGCCCCGTCTTTTTATTATTTTAGACATATATATATATATATATATATATATATATATATATATATATATATATATATATATATATATATATATATTTTTTTTTTTTTTTTACATTCTGATTCAGTTAAAAAATGTACACTCCCTTGCTTTAATAAAATCTTAGGTAGTTGATATATTGATGGCTGTGAACTTTGGTAAGTTTGTCTCTACAGGTGGATGATCCAGTATGCTCATTAATTTCAATACCAGTTTCTCTAAACGTGCTATTTAAATAGTCTAGCTAAATTCAGCTGCCACTGCAGAGAAATTGAAGGTAAAATAACAACACATTGCTATAGCTGTGGGTTTCTATTCCAGGTATTACTGCAGGCCTGTCAGAATGGAGACAATGAAAACCTCCAAGGGAATGAAAACAAGTCGGGCACTGGCCTAGTGGTTTTGGTTCAGGAGCTTCTACAGGTACAGTAAGGCTGTTGGTTGAAAATGATTGGCAACTATAATCTGAGATGAGCTTTTTCCACGTAAATGCAGAATTCCACATTTATAAATTCAATTCTGATGGTTCTTGAGATTCGTCAAGATCTGCAATAAAATCTGGGGGGGGGGATAAATGTTCAGAGTTTTTTTTTTAATCTAGGCTCATGTCTGCTATAGCAAATGATATATAACATGGTGTTTATTAAGTTAAAAAAGTATGTGATTGTAAACAGTAGAGGAAAGGCAAATCAAGGAAGAGGAGAACTTAGTAAAAACGTGTGGGCCCTTGCAAACCCCCCTCCCCTTCTCTTTTCACTTCTCTTGAAAATTTTTTGCATATGGACTTATGTATACCTATGTATACCTCTACCCCCAACCCATAGTGACCCACCCATAACACAGTGCACAGTATACGCATGTATGTATACCTCTACCCCTAACCCATAGTGACCCACCCATAACACAGTGCACAGAATACGCATGTATGTATACCTGTACCCCCAACCCATAGTGACCCACCCATAACACAGTACACAGTATACACATGTATGTTTACCTGTTCCCCCAACCCATAGAGACCCACCCATAACACAGTGCACAGTATACACATGTACAGGTATGTATACCTGAACCCCCAACCCATAGTGACCCACCCATAACACAGTGCACAGTATACGCATGTATGTATACCTCTACCCCTAACCCATAGTGGCCCACCCATAACACAGTTCCCCTTTAGTAATAATCCTGGATTTGCCAGTGCATTAGCTTTCTGATACATTTGATACTCGTTTGTGTGCAGCGTGAGACTGCAATGAATTTTCATTCAAATCAGTAAGAATAATATTGCTTGGAAGGCTAATTAGAGAAAAATTAAGCTGTCAGTTTCAATTGATCTTACCTTTTGCCCGAGGAAAGATAATGAAATATTACCTCACCCAAAAGAAATGAACCTTTGGTAAATAATAGCATTTCAATGATCTGCTAGAGCCAGTGATCTAAGCCAGAATTAGCTGCAGCGCAGAATCCTTTGGGAAAGATAAAATCCAAATTTGCCTGAAATGATTGTATGATATAATGAAAGAAACTTATTTGAAGAAATGGTTAACTTGATAAATGTGTGGCAGGCTGATAAATGGGAATGGTAGTAACAGCTGCCAATAGTCAGCACTGGCCATATTTTAAACACACATTACAGTTTGAAATTTCAACATTTATTATTACCTGTGTATTATATAACAGGCCTGTAGCCAGCAATTGCAAAAGGGAATTTTGTCATGAAACCTTTGTTACCTAGATCAAATTTACCCAGAGTAGAACTTTTCCCAACTGAACCCCCCCCCCCCCCCCCGAATCCCTCCTGGCTACTGGCCTGTATAACAAGATGAATTTCAAAGAGTACCAAAACCACTTTCTTTCACTCACTCACACCTTAATTTGTGTTTACTGCTAAATTTGTTTTTAGAATGCATTCCTGAAAAACGTAGGGAAATATTAGAGAAATATTATACATTTAAAGTCTCTCATATTTAAACATAATACTTAATCATGATTACTCAACCATCATGTAGTCATGTGTTTAGGTAATCCCTATGAAAAGTAGGAATAAACACGTTTGAGGAAATGGCATTTGAGACATGTGATTTAGCGAGACTTTCCTCTGCTTTCAATACTCAGCGGCCTGCAAGTCACGCAATGGCACTTGTAAAAGCATGCGTAAGCTGATCGTCTTCCTGTAGAATACTATCTGTTTTTATTAGTGCCACCTAGGTAGTAGTCAGGCATGCAAACATTAAGGCCAACAAATGTTAATTTGCTTATACATGTTTAAAGGTAAAATCCACATATTTTTGTGTTATGCTGTTTTGCATTAATAGATTATAATTAATTTAACAGATCATATTATGTGTACCAACATTTTGGCAGTGCTGTCAGAAGGGAGTGGTGGGAATTTTTTACCTTTTAGGAAAATTTTCCCTTTTTATCTTGAACAATATTGCTAAAATTCATGACTTTTCTAAAAGAACTGCCAAAAATAAAATGAACAGTTAAAAATCAGAATTGCATTGTTTTATTCACAATTTAGATTTCATGATATTTCAGGCCCATAGTCAGGGGGGGGGTTGGGGGGTTCAAAAGAACCGCCCCTCTTGCTGGGAAAAGGTCCACTCTGGGTAAAATTTTATCTAGGTACATGAAGATTTTATGGAAAAAGGTCCACTTTTTCAGAAAAAGAACCCCCTTTTGAAATTGCTGGCTACGGACCTGCATTTGATTAGTAAATTGAAATATACTTATTTGGAGCTGACATCATTGTAAGAAGTATCTAAAACCAGTCAAAATCATTTTTAATGGAATGAAATGCAAATTATCCCAATCAACTAACTTAGTATGACTAATATCACAGGTTGACTTCTCAAAGTTCACTATAAAAGCAGGGTTTTAGTCAGTACTTTGAAACAGGACATCCAGAATTTCAATTATTATGCTATGGGGGTTGGAGAGCATAAAATACACTTTTTATTTATTTTTAATTTTATTTTTATATACAGGCACTGGATGTGTCTAAATTTTGGTATCCAGACACAGTGATTCTGTCCATGTCATCACTGTTGTTGTCACCATTGCTGTCTGAAACATCAATCCCTATAACTCCCAAACTTCAATTTGCTGAGTAGTTTTGAAGGTTAATGAGGCAGGTATTTTTCAAAATTATCAGCATGATTGGATAATTAATTTTTTGAAAGTGAAATTATAAATTTTTTGCATGCATTTTGGCAACATTAGCCCATTAAGTCCCCTTAAGTACTTCAAATTGGCTGAGTGACTCAATATGTTAATAAGGCAGGTCCATGTCAACAATCAACATAATCAGATTTTTTCCAAATGATATTGATTATTTATGTTTATTTCTTTCTGTATTTTTTTGTATGATTTTCATATCTTTGTTAATATTGTTGCAATGTTTTTTTTTCTTTTTTGGTGTCTGTAAATCTTCCAGCTTTGCTGTTTAGTGTTCACATTCATACTATAAAAAATATCAGCTGTGGCATTTAACTACATCCTTTAAGTCTATGCATCATTACACCACCCAATCATTTAACTTCACAACAATGTTGCTCCAAGCAATGTGACGATGCAGTGAAGTATCAAGCCGGGGGATGTTTTGATGCAGGCAATATCGTATGCTTTTACTATATATAATAGGGGAGTAACAATACAGGGATGTAAAAAGATGATCCCTGAGCTTCCATGATAAAAAAACACTTTCGTAGGGGAAGTATATGTGACCTTCCCATTAACCCATGTCTTCATCAGTTGAGCACGGATGTGGCAACTTCTTTCAACCGTATATTTTGATGAAACTACTCACAATGCATGTGTCTTTGAATTTAGGATTATATTGAAGTGAATAATTGAGCGATTTGTCAAAAACAACTGATACACTGGGTAATTGAAATTTGACAAGTTAAATACTATTAAAAATAATTAACTGCTTCACATCGTGCACTGTGCTGAGCTCATTGGCAGAGTAACGAAAAAACGCAAGCTGATGTCATTGCACCCTTCGAATGTCTCCTGGTCAATTATATGGTAACCCTAGGAAGAGGTAATGTTCCACTCATCAGATTGAGCATACTCTACTGTGCATCAAATATTATTCTAACCGTCTCAAATTCACACCTTCAATTTAGACTTAACTTTTGTCTTTGACAACGAGATGATAGAAGGGGGGGGGGGAAGGATTTGCTGAAATTTTACCAAACTGCCCTCATATAAAAAGGGCAGTTCTCTACTTGAGTAAGCCATCCAAAATTTATGGATAGAGTGGCTTAATTTGCAGGATAAACATGTACACTTGATGAGAAATTAAGACATCCCTGACCCTTGGTATCTGTATGCTTCTTGCCTCAGTCAATTACAGGGGCCATAGTTGTGACAATTGAAGATGATTATTGCATGCAAGATATTTCAGTTGTTCCCTGATGATGCACATCCGGCAAGTGGGCTTAGATTCAAATGCTTTTAACATGTAACAGTGTGTGTGATTTTTAATTAAACCCTCTAAGAGCTTATCAGCTTCCTCTGGCAAAGACGTTTTTCCGGATAATTTCATAGAAGAAGGCTTTTATCATGGTTCTTGGACATGATTTTTAACACGAAGTATTGAAAGTGTAAAAACCATTTGATATAAGAAATAGATTAATAGATAAATGAATTAATATATCTATTATTTAAGTTAACTAGCAAATCTTAGCTTGCATATTCAGAAGGGTAAGCAAAACATGGCATAAGTTGCAGAAGAACACAATGAGCAACAGAACACTTACAGTACACATGCACAACTGATGGAAACTGCTTGAGAATATCAGACATGAGCTTTTTCTGTGGAAAAACAGAATTCCGCATTTTAAAAATCAATTCTGAGGTGGCTCCTGGACCCCTGGCTGGTCTAAGGTATTGGGTCCCATGATAAATGTTTAGAGGTTTTTTTTTAAAACCTAGGCTCATGCCTGGAATATAGAACCATGTGTAAATAAAAATGGTAATGTATCACGTCTGTACGGATGCTGCATCAAAGCTACGCAAGTTGTGGTAATTGCATCTTATGTCTGTTTTATAATGGTTACTATAAAGGAAACTTTTGTTGAAGATCATTACAATTTAAACAGTAAGGCATGTCCAAAGTCCAAATTTGGCTGAAGTACTTGTATCAGTATAATCACTGATAGTAGATTTTTATTAATGAAGTCTACTATTGTACTGTTCTTTTTAAATCACTGTCAAATCTAAATTTGTATGTCCAAAGCCAAACACAATTAATGAGTAATTTGCTAATTAAGGCAGTTGCATATCCAGTAGTTTCTTGAACTGGTACATTTATGAATAGAAGCAATTATATTTAAAAGGATAAGAATTGTTCATTTCGGCAAAAAATAATTTTCCTGGGGTAAACGACAATTTTCCCATACTTGCCAATGGTTAATGAATCCATTTCTGCATTCAAAGTTAGTCCCTTTTTTTTTCTAAAAAGTTAGTTTTTTTGTAAGAATCTCTTCAGAGATTATTACAGAGTATAGCCATCTATGGAGGTCACGTGACAAGCACTGATTTCAGAAAAATTGCTATAACTGCCGTTTTTGTGGTAAGATATATATTTCTATGAGTTGTTTACAATGTATTTATTGTGAAATATAGATCTCATACAAAGGGTAATTATCCCTTTAATTTTTATTTTTGTCATAATATATTGTTGTCACATGAGTAAGTTAATGATTTACACTCAAATGGTGAAACATGTTTATTAATACATTAGATGTCACAGCAATTAAGTTACGACATCAAAAAAAAAAAAGCTTGATCCAATAATTTCATAACTATAATTGGGAATGCAATTGACGTACATGTATGATCGCATAAAGGAATAATTGTTTAACAAGTATTTGTTAAATCCGCACTTGGAGATTACCAGAAGTAATTATAGCATGTTTATCAGGTAGTTATCAGGTGCATGTCTGACAGAATTGTGTCTAATTGTGGGCAATTTTCACCTTCAAAATGCAACTTTGTCAGAGGCATTTTGTAGTGATATTTATCTGTATGCGAGATGTCTCATGCTTAGAGGTAAACATCCTGTTTATCTAAATTTTTGATAAAATATGATAATTTTTAGTAACCATTTTGTGTCTGCCCTAATGAACTGACATACATTCACCTGAGAAATTGAACTCTGTATCTACTCTTCCCTATAATAAGCAGTTATTGACAGTAGACATTTAGAATACTTTATTTAGAAAACCTCAGTTACTAACATGGGTATTTAGATTTTGACCTAATTTCATATTAATTCCATTCCCTAGTAATTATTTAAAAAGTGTTTAAAAATGTTTCACTGCAGTAGCACACTGCACAAATGCATTTTTTTATGTTACATAATATCAGTATACACTTTATACATTTGTGAGGCAACATAAGATTAAACAACCTATATGAAAGAGGTCGATTTTTTTGTAGATGTGGAGGGGGGGTCTATCTGAGAAGGTCATGTGCATTTCAAAGATCCCAAGTGAAATACATGGTGTCCTTTTGCTGTGATGCAAACTAACTGGTTGTATATTAGCACTCTTCTTGTTGATGTGACATAATGCTTAGAAATGAATTAGATAAAAAGACCAATCTCTCTCTCTCTCTCTCTAACACTTTTGATAAAAGTTTCAAATTATTAATTTCAGTACACCCATATTCCAAGGCAGGGCAGATCTTTATACAGTACACAGGACCTCATTGTCTTCAGTTTTTTTTTCTTGGTTGAAAAAGACTTCACTATAATTTTATAGTTTTTCTGCTGGTGAAGGCAGGTTGTCATCCTGCTTTCCAACCTGTAGATAAGAAGTTCGCCAGTCTCCACCCTTTCAAGTAGCGTTTTCCAATAATGGTAAGCAAACATAGCATATGTGGAGTGCAGCATACATGTAAATAGTTTTTTAAATCACTACATGATTTGATACTATGAGTATTAGAAGTTAGGAGTAAAATTGTTTTTTTTGTCTATGCAAAAAGTCATAAACAGACTTTGACTAAAAATATTTAGGATAAAAAATTCAGAATGTGTCACAAATGGTCTTTTCCACGCCATGAACTAAGAGCTTCACTTTGCTCTTTCCTTCAAAACACTCTGAACAAACCCCTTCAGATGTCATGTTTGATCTTATTGTGGTCAAAATTTCCAGTAAATTGTCACTCATCACCATCAGTAGCGCGAAAAAACACAAAGCATCCCCATGGTAATGGAAAAGAATGAGTTCAAGTCGGGTTTTCATTTGAGTGGTCAGTGACACATGTCACCGCATGTTCATTATAACAGGAATAGTTTCTGTGACTTGATGTTTTACAAGAGTAAAGACAACTACACAGAGATTTTTGCTGCTACTGAGTTCTATTATATACAGATATCTGCTCCCCTGTATCTCAGTCACTCTCTGCTGTGACAGTATATCTGCTGTGTAGACTCTCTCTGCTCATACTGACTACTCAGAGGATTTAGGAGATTTTATACACAAAATTGGAAAGTCAGGAGAATGAATGCAAGATCTCGTAGGACTGAGGAAATTACCTTTTTTATTAAAAGAAATGGGTGCAGTTTAAAATACAGTTCGATTTGACAATGATATATTGCTGATCACGATCTTATATTTTTCTTGAACCCCCCTTTTTTCTATGAAAATTAAGGTCCACTCTGAGTAAATTTGATGTTGCCTGCTGGCTCCCTATTTGTCACTTAGAACTTAATTGATGGTCAAGTAAGAGTGAAGTATCTGGTCTGGCAGTGAAAGATATTGTTTGTATGCTCATTAGCTCTCAGCATCTCATATGGAATCTGGACACGTATCTTCCTCAGAGAGGTGAGAACGTGGACTGCCATGCAATGTGAATCAGGGCAAACCAGTTTGCCAGGCATATTGTAATCTAAAAAAACTGCACTGAAACATATTATAGTATGGTGGTATATAAGAAGCAGAGTTTACTTTTACACAACAGTGTTATGCAGAATACTTGTATAAAATGTATAGACATTAAATTTCTGTTTTGATTTTATGGAGCCATTGTAAGCTAGGGATTGCCTGAATGGTATCATTACCTTATTTTTGTTGATGATTCAAAATTAAAATTTAGCATAAGAAACCTGTAAAAATAGTCTTATTTAAAGAAGATCACAAGACCGCCCTGTGCCATGTTAGTAAATATGCACTTTTCTTATTGAACAATCTAATTCTTGGAAAACTAGAATGGGGATAGGTATGTAATTACCAAGGAATGCAAAGAAGAAGTATCATTAAGCTTCATTTCCTCATGAAAATTGCTGTATAAGATACTGGGCACACTCAAGTTAGGGTGCAATGGCATTCTGGGCAGCTAGCTGGTTACTTGCTTGAAATGCTACTATGAAGTACTTAATTGGTTCTGATGGAAAGATTGACAACACAATGAGCAAAAATAGCAAAAAATTTAATTTTCCTGGAAATTTCAACACTTCAAATTATCAAGATATACAATATGGAAAAACATTCACGGAATTACCTTCCATAAACCTGCTTTTGAGAAGTAACTTTCTATATTTTGAGCATTCTCAGAATAAAAATATAGAGAATGGTGAATTTGACTTGTGGTTAATCAGGACTTGACGCTAACTTGAGTGGCCCTGGGCCAGCAAGCCACCTTTAATGTCGAGTCCTGCCAATCAGAAATTAAGAACTTGAAAATGGGCTTAAAAATCATAATCTTAAAATGGTTTTGGATACGGTACACTTGGTGATAAAAGGGAAATCCTAGTAATTTTCAGGATTTTCCCCCAATGTTATATATAAAGGTGTTATTGTTTGCTTTAAAAGAAAAGAAGTAGAGTCATCAATTTTTTTATAGTGAAATAGAGTAAACATCAGGGTGATTTCCATTTTTGTATACGGCACTGTTACACTGATTAAAGAAGGGTACCTTTCAAAAATCAGCATGATGGAATTATTTTTATAAAAGCACAAAATAATTCGTTTTATTAAACTTCAAAATGCTGAGTGACTTTATATGTTAATAAGGCTGGTTTCTTTCAAAAGTCAGCATGATTGGATTATTTTTATGAAGGTTATTGACTGATTTTTTCATGTATTTTGGCCATGTTTTCACCATATTCAAACACTATTTTTGCTTTACTTCAGATTTGCCAAATAGCTTCTAAATTAAATAAAAAAGGCAGGTTCTTTTAAAGAAATCAGCATGATCAATTTTTTACAATTATTATTGATTGTTTTGTAAATATTGCTTTGATAGTTGATAAAGTATATTATAATATATGTTTTGAAACTTCAGGTAAGATAATTGGTACTTTGTTTCTTTATGTTGTTTCAGCATTGTTACAGCTTTTGGGATATTTTCCATCCAGATCAGATGATAAATGAGATTTATGTGCAGTCTCTAGGATTTAATGTTAGATTTCATAGAACTAGCTATAATTCAGCTCTGGAGTAAGTGAAATGACAGTTTATATTCATTTACATATTCTTATTTACATTTTTCATCAAACAGGAAATGTGTAATATTTAAAATCAAACCTGCGTAGAACATGGAGAGAGAGACACTGACTTAAGTCATACAATGTATGTGATTAATGTTGAATAATGTTTTGGTGTAAAGGGGTTGTATAAAATCAATTAAAAACAAAATATACCTGAATATACCAAAATTTTAATTAACCTTGATCTAGTGGAAAGAGCGTATCACAATACTGTTAAGTAACACAGCATCAGTTAATCAACTATTTCAAATTCAATTAATTTTTTTTCCAAACTATCTTGAGTTATTGTAGACTTGGCTACTGTTTTGAAGTTAAAAATAAGAATCTCTTTCACCTGTTTTGTCATTTGACCAGATTTGTTTTCCGTACTGTGTTTTTGTCTCTTCAGGCATATCAGATAGATCAGTCCCAAGTGCTTTGTTTATTCGAAGCACACCATATCTGTTAGGGTGTTTCAAATCGATGCAACCAATTGACTTAGAGCAATAGATAAATGTATCCATTTTAAACATTTGCCTCTTTAAACTATTGAGAAAGGCTCTCTTTCCGTAGCGAAGCACTTGTTTTGCTGACGTTTCTTTGAGTTCATTAATTGCACGGGTTGGAGGATCCAAATTGATACAGCCCATTGATGGTGAACAGTAGTGATAGGAACGTTTCCCTGTTGGCTTCTGTGTTTCTGGGGCCAATGCTGCCAGCTGCTCCTCTATCTTTGCCTGTTCATCCCACTGAGCCCGCTGAGGCACTTCTTTACCAAATCGTATTTTTGCTCCATTGCTTTTGACTGAGTCACTAGCTGGACGGACCACATCTATACAGCCAAGGCTTTGAGAGCAATAGGTGCGCCCCCTTTTTATTAGGATAGTGCTTTTGGGAAAACCTGTTGACTGATTGATTATTCCCTTGTCAAACCCTGGCTTCTGCTGGTCTTCATCTACTTGAATTGATTCCATTAGTTTCTTCATTATGTATGGAGGGTTTTGTTGTAATGGATGCCTCTTGTTCTGAAACCAGCCTGGCTTGTAGTCTCTGTCAATGGTGGGCGTGTCCCCATTTGGATAGACTTGTCCATTGATGTACACACTAAGAACTGTACAAAGAAGAAGATGAAGCATAGATTTCCAATCTGAAATTGAAAGAAAATTATGCTGAAGTTGATTCCACTGTGCTTTTTCATATATACTTTTACAAAACTTGAAAATTAAGAAAATATGAGCAACGATAATTATTTTCTAGAAAAGTGAAAACATTTTAGAAGGTGCACGATGCTTTATTTATTTTGAACACTCTCTCTCTCTCTCTTTCTCTCTGTGGATGCAATAAACAGGGAATAATACAATATAAGCACAATTCATATTATTTAGGGGTTGAAATGACAGACTGCAAACTTCTGCCTAAGTAGCTCATTTAATTTATTTATCAACTTATAATGATATCAGCAATATCAAATCCATTATTGCTTGTTACCCATTTCTGATATAATCTAATAATATCAATGTTGATTCATAACTAACTTTTTGAGTTGGGCTGCTAAATAACAAACCAACAAGAACAATTAAGGAAAAACATAACATCCTTGGCGAACATAACTATCTGGCTGTCCTTGTATGGCTTATATCGTGGAGACAATTTGTCATTTGAAACTGCTTACACTCTCCAGTGCCGTTCAAGTTTTTCAGTGCCTGGAACCACTTGATATCAAGAAGTTAACTATTTTCACTTTCCTTCCTTTCTACAGAGAAGGTTGATTACACCAGGAAGTGGCACCTAGAGACATTGGTAAATTCACCAGCAATTTCGGGAAAATTCACGCAGTGTCTTTGTTTGTCACCCTGAGCTTCAGAGATAACCTGACACTAACCTCTTCACTATAGCCTATCTTCATCGTGTCAACTTGACACGATGAAGATAGGCTAATAGTGAAGAGGTTAGTGTCAAGTTATCTCTGAAGCTCAGGGTGTTGTTTGTAAACTGTAATATTCTTTATAATACTTTGTATAAAGTCTAAAGAGCTAAAGGAAGTTTGTTAATTAATCTGATTAAGAAGTTGGGTTCAAGAATCCTTTGTCTTGATTTGATGTTAAAGAGTGGAATTCCTCACAGATTGTCAGAATGTACCTGAGCAAACAACGCATAAACATTAAATGATTGAAACTGGTTATTGTTGTCAGAGTTGGATTTCCTCACAGCAATTTACACTTAAATATTTTGACCACCAATATGGAAAGTAGTAGTATCCTACTTAAAAGTATGCAACGGTGTCTGTATTTTGAACATATTTGTAATTCTTATTCATTGCTAAATTTGCGTATTTCCAGAAAAACTGATAAAAACTAGAATTGCTACATTTAGATTTTGAAGAAAACATTTTAAGTTTAGGTTTGTGTCCATGATCTGTACTTAGCCTTGTAAATTAGTAGGTGAAATTTACATTTTCTGCTTATCATTAATGAGATGCTTGCAAACTGGATTTCTACTAAGCTGCTGTAGCATGTCTAGGATTTGTATAGATATCCACTATTGTGATTCAGTCTTTTTTTTTTTTAGAGAAAAAGGATGGCTGAAGTGGGAATAAGTAGTTGGTTCTGGTTTAATTAAGGATGAGTTAAGTGGGTGGGTTAGGTAGACTTTATGTTATGTTGTGGGTGGGTCAGGTGGTTTAATGGGGTTAAGTGGGTTTAAAGGCAGGGTTAAGTGGGTGGGTCAGGTGGATTGATAGGTGAAGTGTGTTTAAAAGTGAGTTGAGCTTGATATAGCCACACTTATGTCATGTGAGTGTAAAGTATGAACTTATGACCATTAAATGTTAAGAGTTTGTAACATAATCAATTAAAAGTAATTGGAGCAGATTCTAAGGAGTTGAAAAGTGTAAAAAAAAAAACATAAAATTTATGACTAGAAAAAAAGCGAAAAAGATGGCAGCACAAAACAAAACAAAGAAAAAAAAACAGTTATTTAACTGTAGATGTGGTAAGTCACGAGAACCAGGGATAAGTTAATTGTTTGCTCTAAGCAGCTTTTATTCCCCACTCATGTCTGATTCACATATTCTTAACCCCAAATTGCCTTTGATAATAGGATAGAATATCCTTATAATGTGGGTATAAACCTTTATGGGTGTTCACTTACCAACTTAATGGTACTTTTCCCGTTATAGTGCTACTGGGTGGTCAAATTACACAGTGTAATTATTAATCAATGAATGTTTAAAAGATGGCCTTGATATGATAGTCTTTGCAACCTAAGTTTAAGGCAGCATCTTCTTAGGTATACTGAACAGATGTAATCACAAATATGCACAATTGCATTGAGAAAAATAAAAAGCAATAAATAATTATATTATTTTAATACGCAAATTAGCATTTAAAAAGGAGTGGCATTAAACAGTACTGTTATATTAATTTTAATGCACAAATAAGCATTGAGAGAAATTAATGAGGTAAATAGTTATATTAATTTAAATATACAAATTTCACATTTATGAACCAGATACATTCAGCTTACTTGTATGCTTCTGTAGGGATTGAAGGCAAGCCTCTCAGGCTGGTCCTCAGATTTATTTACTTTACTCTGGCAGTAACTAATTAATTTTCAAACCTATTTTCCACCCTCTAACTGTCTTAATGAAGTCCTTATACTTTGTATCTTTTGTTTTTCTTAATTTCATTTTTTAGATGCCATATTTGGCTCATTCATTTCAGAATTTTTTCTTTTAGACACATATCATAATATGCAACCATCAGCAAAAATGAGCATGCAGAGCTTGACGTGCCTTATATTCTAAGACTGTCACATATAAATGCATTTTTAAAAATTAATGCTGTATTTATATTACTTATGACCCATAAAATAATTGTTTTTATAAGCTCTGACCTACATATTTTTTACAAATTAGAGGAAAAAAGAAGCCTAAACTTAAGTTTTATAAAAAATTGCTTTGTCTAATAAAATTTTCTGTTCTTTTTCGTTATGATTTAACCAAATGATCTTAAAACTAACATATTTTAATTCATCTGGATAGGACATTATTCCTAAGGTACGGACCATATTTTTATTTACTGTTTAAAAATCAATCAATTGAAATTAAAAATGACAGAAAAATTAGCTACCTACCTGTCATTATGTGAATCACAAGTGACTTCCTAAGGCGTGTCTGTTTGTTTCAACTCCAAGCAGTGGACCTTATATAGAGCTGTCAGCATGGAGACAGCTAGTGGGTGTGACAGGAGCTGTTTCAGAGCTGCCTCTTGTGCGTGATTATCCTGGCATTGTAGGTGTGACACTAGAATCGTTCTCCACCGTAACCTCTTCTGCAGATGCCTGACTAAACTTAATATGCACACTGTAACGTACCATTAACACAGCTGGCAATTGGTAGTTACACTTAAGGGGGTGTGATACGTCACGAAGGCCTACAATTGGCAAAATAACTTTTTTCCTCATTGCCTTTATGAAAAATACTTATTTTGATATAGGCACAATTTAGGATTGGAGAGAGAAAGTGATTGGCTTCTGATGTAATTACATAGCTTAGTTATGAAAAATACTTGTTTTGATATAAGTGCAATTACGGATTTCAAAAAAAAAAAAAAAAAAAGAAATTAAAGAAAAACTCTTTTTTGATGTGTTATTTACCAACCCATACACTTCTACACACAGCATGGCCAAGCATGTATCAATTTAGCAGATTGATGAGAGAAAGTGATTGGTGTCTGATATAATTACATAAATATTATCATGAAAATTGGCATGGTCGTTGACAAGGATGTGAGCTACAATCTGGAAGCATGTTTGGTTTTATATTTTTTGTTTAGAAGATGCATGTATGAGCCCCTATAATTATGTTTGTAAATTAAACAAAAGCGTTTACTGATGAAACTCAAAGTAAGCCTGTCAGGAAAGTTTCCTAGCAATGACTTGTAGAACTTATGATTTTTATCGATCCTTAAAACAGTGAGGATAGATCTTCAGGTGGGTGAGATCAGTTTGAGGTTACAGTTTTTTATCCCTAAAAATACAAATGTAGGGAGCATAAAGAATAAGTTAATTGTAATTAATAGCATCTGCTAAGCATGAAAAATAAATACCAAATTGAAGAAATAAAGGCAAAGATGACTTTGATAAGAAATAACCTCTTAACTGAAAGAAATGATATTTTAACAAAATTAATAGTTATAATGCCTGCCTCCCCTCCCTTTTAGAAGCAGGACTGGGTATATTGCTTGTCACAGGTCTGTCTGTCCAACCTTGTTTTTCAATAAATGGAGAACGGGTGGATCTATGGTCCTCATATTTGGTAAGGAGATTTGCCATCACATGTAGATGACCCCGATTGATTTTGAGAGCATTAGGTCAAAGGTCAAGGTGACATATTGACCCTCAACACATAAACCTTGTCTCACAAATAAAAAGAGGAACTATTTTGCCTATATGGTCATTATAAATGGTAGGGAGGTTTGCTGTCATGTGAAGATGAACTTCATGGATTTTGAGGTCAAAGGTCAAGGTAAGGGTCAGGTGGGAGGGGGCATCTGTGATATGAAAACCTCTTGTTATTATATTCCAAAAATAATGATTAATAATGGTAATTATTTGATGTATTGATTATTTTCATTTTTACATCTGTATTGCCAGCATGGTTCATCAACAGTTATTTTTTCATTCAAAAATGCAAATATGGCCAGTTCTCAAAGGAGTAAGTCGATACTTATTGAAACTAGGTTAATTTTTTGTTTACATGTCAGAGAATCCTTGACTCATATCTCTGATATTTTTCTGTTTTCAAGAGAATTCCTGCAGATTAATACCATGTTGAGATGTAACTTACCCATCATTGATTTTGTTGCTTTATCTGTACAGCCATTCACTTTTTTTACTGTGTTTTTAGGTACTTAAAATATTCAAACACAATAGGCAAGGCAGCATGACTGTCATGAATCTGGTTTCTGTGGTTTTGTTTTTATAAGGTTTGGCTCAGGTTTGGCCAAAGTTTTTTTCCTTCTTTTTTGTGCTGAACGTTTTTCTTCATCATTCAGGCCTGCAGCAAAACCCAAAATGTATAAATGCCAATAGTATCAGTTGGCAGTAAGTTAATCCAAGAATAATTTTGTGTGTACACCGGAACAATAGTGGTACTGGAACAAACTTTTGATTCATTTTGTCTTGCTCAGTGGGATTTTTTTTTTTACCCCAACCCGACCCAAGTGTGGGAGAATCAAAGGGGTGAGAGGCACCCCAGAGGAATTTTTCCAGCACTACATGTATATATACTATTCAGTATATACAATGTAGAGAGCCATGGCAGAGAACCATTGAAAAGTGCATATATAAGACTTGGAGGAGAAACCATGTACCAGTGCCCCTATAGTTTGTTTTATGTTATTGTATAATGAAGCATTGATTGTTTGTGATTCCAGTCTTAGATGTTACTTAATAGATCACCTCATCCAGTGGTTAATTACTGTAGTTCCAGAAAACGGTCAGATTTTCAAGTTTACATTCACGGATATCTATTTATTCTCTCTCTCTCTCTCTCTCTCTCTCTCTCTCTCTCTCTCTCTCTATATATATATATATATATATATATATATAGATAGATAGATAGATAGATAGAGAGAGAGAGAGAGAGAGAGAGAGAGAGAGAGAGTGAGAGAATTTAAGATAGGTACCAACAGTTTATTAATAGGATTATAATGTAGACAAAAAATATGTCATTTCTGTACAGCAATGTAAGAGATACTGGTAGTGCCTACATGCTTTTTTTCCCCATGGTTGAGATTCACTGACTGTTGAACGAAACAATCTGTTTCTCATTTCCTCCTTTTTTCAAATCCTATTTTCCACCATAAATATGAAGTCTCAGGTTGATACAGCACACAGGAAATTGGGATATACTATGTACCAAGCTGGGTGGTGTCTCTTTGTAAAATGTTCATGCATAGTTTTTGTGGTATCCCATTATGTTATTGAATGGCAAGGGGAAAGCAATGAGATCTAGCTAGTGTGGGCTAGTGTAACACTGTTCGTGAAGTAATATTTTTATACTTGTATGTTGTGGGATATGCTTGATTATTATTCTGCACATCCATTGGCAGGGATCAGATTTGTTGACAGTTTTGCATGTATTCTATAAACATTTGAGTCAATTTTTTATCTAAATTTGGTGAAGGTCTGAATATTGTTTATTAGTGCTATGTTTTTATCAGACACAAACAAATTAATGATTAGACTAATGATTCTTCTGATTTTTTATATACACAGCATGCAAAAGCTCTTATAATTTCATCAAAATAACACAACTATTTAACTTAAATGATAAGGTTTACCAATAGTTAGTTAGACTGATTTCTTTTCACAGCCTTGCTGCCAAGTTCTTGTTGATTTAACTGCATACAGTACTATGTTTACAGTTGAGTTAATTTTCATTTTCTTTTAAAATGACTTTCCTGTTAAGTGCATTATTGTAAGCTCGAGGCTGTGGTTGTCTTTAATGTTATTTTGAATCATGGCCTTCAGAAAGCCACTGAGTTGTACATGAAACTGTATCCTTCACCTAATTAGTCGTTCCAGTCTATTAGTGCGTATGGTAAATATTCACCCAATTCGAAACAAAATTTAACATTATTATTTTCATATTGATGTTTTTCTATAGAAAACAATGAAATCCACTGAAAGGGTAAATTGGCTCAAGTCAGTTGGTATACCGGTTATTATATGTGCCTTAATTTAGAAATAACTGATATATTTTTAAAATATTGTTTAATTTATGGTGTTTGGAATTTATGAGTAATTGCAGCCACAATGCAAACTCTTCGAGTGTTTGACAGTGTGGTAATATATTAAACATTTCCCGAAGTTGGCCAAATTTTTAAGACATACTTGCAGGAAAAGTACATGTATTGCATTATGTAGAGAATAGATCTTAAGAGCTGGTTTTACAAACTTATAATTCAATATCATGTTCTTTGTTTTCCTAATAGAGAACAATCGGAAATTCAACACTTTCTTGTTTATTCATTACTTAAGTGTCTGTTACTCCCTTGAGAATTTTAATAGCATGCATTAATTGCAACTTTATACCATTTCCAGTTATTATTGACATCAACAGATGTACTCATAATGATTGTTTTATGATAATACACAGTTTATGTTATTTATTTTTGAAAATTTTTTTTGAATAAATGAAATAATTAAAATTAATCTGAAGGTGCATGCAGGTACTTATTGTGATACATTTTGAACTTAATGTGTATGTTTTTTGCCCTTGTACCAAGTATCTGAAAGGAAGTGTTGAAAATGCTGAAACTTGTTAAAATGCAAAATTTCAAAAATGTTCTTGCCTGTCACTATACAGCTGTTGTCCTCTCTCTCTCTCTCTCTCTCTCTCTCTCTCGCACACACACACACACACACACACACACATTGCTTGTTTCTCACTGCATAACATATGAGTTCCTGAAGTGAAATTTGTTGTACATATTTAGAGTAAGAATTTTTCAGTACACTGCTGGTTCTGTACATGTGCAATTGAAACTTTGTTGGTGCCAAAAAGTGATCTTTGCATTAATGTGTTTTCTCCCATTATGTGTTGCAGTTTAAGTAGATTTTTTTTGTGAGAAAAATGTTTTCACCCATAGTGCATATACAGGTGAAAACTAAAGCAACTTCCTAGATCATAAGGACATACACAGGACATCAGGGTGTGGGCAACAGTGAACAATAGTACTTTAACCAAATTGAATGTATGAATAATGGTGTCATGATTGCTGCACCTTTATCCTAATACATTAGGTGGGTTGGGTTGATGTGTTTTGATCAATGACTGAATTATGGTGCCATTATTGCTATAATTTCTTCATCAGCAATGGGTATAGGTTCGGTTTCTGTTGAACCACAGGGCATGATAGTATTGCCATTGTTGGCCAAATCATTTTCAGCCCTACTTAAGGATGGAGGGGGTAGTTTTTCAATTTTTTTTTTTTTTTGTATCAAAATTTAAAAATTAACCAGATAAGGTACACATGCTGTAAAATCATAAATATCTTTGAAAGAGAGCTAAACAGTCTGCTTTTTTTCTTTACAAAAAATAATTTTTCAAGATTTGATAAAAGCAAAATTAATAAGTCTCATCAATCAGTATTTCATTTCACTAAAATGTATAGCATTGATGTGATTTAATATAATGTAATATAATGCAATATAATGTTCCTTCTCAGTGAAGGATACAGCAAATTCATGCTTATAGACACTGCCTTTTTTCTTAAAGAACTCAGCTTGAGAGAATGCACATCTTGAATTTGTAGACTTTGATGGAAGTAATTAGACCAAAAGCCCCATCAATCATGTGTTGGGTCTTCTACCTGTGGAATTCCCCTAGGAGAATATACGGGCACTGCAAATATGAATTGTATTTAATAACTTCTTTGTTTTGGTATCAATCATTCTTGCTAAATAAAATTTTGCTCGACTCTTTTTGACTTTTCTTGAAAGCATTGTGGCCTTCTAGATTTTTTGTATTGTACTTTAATGGAATTATGTTCCTTGTTTTTAGAGTTCCAGATGTAGTGTTCTAAAACTTTTGGTCAGGCAATGTAACTTTACCCCCCCCCCCCCCAGAAAAAAAAAATTCCACATGTAAAGTCTAAATTAAAAAACAGAGTGCAGTGTTCATTGGTGAGATATAATGCTAAGAACTATGAAAATAAAAATACCGCCCATGCAGTTCTATTAGAGTCACTACCTTTAATTTGGAGATACATCATTATATGCAATAACCTGTCATCTATAACAAGCACTGAACATTATCACCTGACTCAAAAATGTTTAATGCATGTATTGTCTGAACTAGAAAGAACCTTAGGTATATTGATGTGTCAAAGGCTGTGTTCTGAATCTGTTCAACGAAAATGATTTTGTCTATGAGCAGGAAGGAAACTCTTGATTTCATTATACACAGAGTTAACACTGGGTTCAGATGCTGGCAAAATGCAGGGTGAAAAGTAGAGCTAGGATGTTTTTTGTTAAAAATGGTATTGAGCATGGCTTAAGTGGTGATACATCATAGTAAAATTAACTGAGACAGAACTTAGAGGAGACATAATACCCTAATGATGGAGTGTTACTCACTGCGTTAAAAATCATCCACACCAACTAGTTTAACACTTTTGCCACTTGACATGCATTTTGCAGGTAGAAACATACATATATATAGATAGATATAGATAGATAGATAGATAGATAGATAGATAGATAGATAGATGTGGAAAATATTAACCTGAATATGTCAGAAATCCTAAAAAAAGTTCAAAATCCATGAGCACATAATCTGATTGGCCCTTAATTTGGACTTAAAATACCTGATTCCTTTAGCAAACAATTTTTTAAAAATGTTAATCTTTTTAAAGCCATCGAAGCATTTACATACCCACTCAAACACAGTTCTAATTTTAAGAAATTGTAACTTAAAAAAACAGTATCTGTAAAATTCACAATTTTCCCTCATTGAACAGATCGAGTAATTACCGTAAATAGTAAAATAACTTACATATAGCTAACAGGTGGTTCCTACCCCAGATATATGGAACTATATTTTCTCTTTTGTCTATTATTTTGTTATTTTCAGGCATTGAATGGAATTGAAAGAGAACTGATTCATGTCACCTCTAAAGAGAAGGTAAAACCACATTTTTCTATTTGTACCATGCTGATCGATTGAGTGAAATTGACCAGCTGCCAATTACAATACCAGCATATATATATGAAAAAATTAGAAACTTAGAACTCAAATGTGTTCATATATAGATTGCTATGTTGTCAGTGCTATAGAATTGATGATAATTTTGCATGGTGACTAATTGAAGTTTCCTAATTTTTTTACCATAAAAAGGTGCAGCATGCATTATGTGCCTTAATGAAAAACATTGATACCTTTAATGATTACCTTATTCAAGTGACAACTTACTTATAGAATTATCCTTTGACTCATCTAGGTGACCAGTCTTATGAGACTCGCCCAAACGCTGGAGCAGCATGTGCAGCATCTGCCACAAGGAGACACCATGCAGCAACCCCCTACTGCAGACACATACACCAGAGCAACAGTGGGAGACATCCTGGAATCCATTCAGGAAGATCCAAGCAATAATAGTTATGATGAAGAGTATGACAGTGTTCAGACTGAAGCAAATGGGAACCTAAGACCTGCATCAGGTGACACTGATGCTCACAGTTTTGGTGATAACCATGGGAGGATTGTGAACTACATGACAGAGATCAGTTCTGATTATAGCTGTGTTGATGATGGTGAGGAGGAAGATGGGGAACAGAAGGATGGGGAGGAGGCAGGTGAGGAACGGTTGGAGGGTGAGGAGCAAGAGGATGGAGAGGAGGCGGGTGAGGAACAGGAGGGTAATCATGAGGAGAAGGAAGAAGAGGGTGATGAGAAAAAGGAGGAAGATGGGGTAGAGGAGGACAGTCACCTTGAAGCTTTTTCTGTAGATCCTTCTGCAAAAGCTCATGTTAAAGAAGAAATTCAGTATACTGATGAGGTACACCAAGGTTCAAACTCCAAAGAGCTTGTTTATTCAGAAGATTCAGAAATTTCAGTTGCTGCCTCCATGAGGGCTTTATCTGACTTGTTACAAGAACTTGATAATGGAGAACAGTCTGCTGAAGAAACAATGGCAGAGGGATCTGTTCAGAAACCGGACTGTTCAAATGAGGAATGCCTTCCATCTACCCAGTCTTCAACCCTTATTACTGGTTCAGTTGACAGTGGACAATCTCGGTCTGATGTACCACCATCAACACCCACCAATTCATCTACTGCCCCACTCCCAACCCCATCACCTCCAACCTCACTCCCTCAAGGCACCCCACCACCTCTCCCACCCCCTCTGTGTGCCCCTCCACCCCCTCCCGGTGCCCCTCCTCCACCTGGTGGTCAGTTTAGTATGAAGACAGGACGCACGCTGAAGAAAACTACTCAGCAGAAGTTGCGAATGTTTAGATTTTCTACGCTTCCAGTTAATGCGGTAAGCTATTGTGGCTTTTTTATCATTGGTGTGAATTTTATAGATACACTTTATTCGTGTGGCTTATAATCAGCTGTTAAACGCACACCCATTTGTTCATTTAAGCAGTATCTTAGTTTAAATTGCCCTAGGTAGGTGAGGTATGTAGTGTATTTTATAAATAGGTTTAAATGTGAATCTTCTTTTGGTATGTTACATAGGGGCCCTAAGAAATTTAAACCACAGTGTTTCATATATTATTAAAAGGGCAGTTGTAAGTTTTGGACCTCTCTAACTCATTCTAGGCAGTAACACTGTTGTAAAGTGGCCTTAGACCCTGTTCCCATACTTAGATGGATCTAGCAGGATCGACCTATCTCTAAGGGAATTCTTGCTAAATTGCAATTTATCGAAAATCTCCTCGGAGATGGGGCGATCCTGCTAGAATGATTTAGGTATGGGAATGGGGTCATAGTGTTGCATCAAGACTCTGGTATTTGTACATTTACTTCAAGATCTATCCTGTAACTGGTCACAAAGCAAATAGGCACAGTTTCTAATACAAATTAGGTAGACAACTCTGTATGGAAGGACTTGCGAGACCTGACCTCCAGTATCGACACCAAAGCTCTGGAGGACATGTTTGCACTGGAGGAGAACAAGACACAGAGAACGGCTTCCACTGCTGGTAATTGTTTTGTGATTTTATATATAATACATAAATTAGGCCTTATAAACAGATTAGGCGTTTACTAACACTACCCGCAGATCTTTTAGCACTAACAACCCATATTAACCACAAAACTCATGAATTAACCAACACAATGTAAAATTATTGAGCACCAACAAAGCCATACCTAGCACTAACATTCAGCTCTGGTAGTGCTGTAGGCCTGTACATACAGTGCAGTGCAGGGGTGTAGGCACTCTTCAGCACCATCTGGAGGACTTTCAAAATATTTTTCCAAAAATAATTTTATCACTTAAAATTGGGGATTAATTTTTTTTAATCTTTGTGAGACTCATCATCCTATTGAAACTACGATACATCATTGTGATAATGATTTTTCTAAAGGACTGCATGATTGTATAAAAGGACATATAATGAAATAACTGTTGTAAAGGGCACATGGAATTGTGATCTAACTTTTGTTTCTGGGTAATGTATATGAGTTCACAATATATCTCCTGACCAGCTAGAATTGCCAGTAGTATGGGTTATCTTGGGAGCGCATATATATATATATATATATATATATATATATATATATATATATATATATATATATATATATATATATATATATATATATATATATATATATATCTTGGGAGCACATATATATATATATATAACAAGCGTGAGTGTGGAACATATATATATATATATATATATATATATATATGTCATAAAGAGGGGATCAGTTGAAGTTTTATTTCAAAGTCCAAATTCTTGAAAATTTTTCTTCTTTATCTGCAGTGCAACCAGGCTTGAGCAAACAACAGCCAAAATCATTGTTAGATCCCAAGAAGGCTCAGAACCTGGGGATCTTCCTGATGGGCCTCAAGATGTCTGCTGCCCAACTTAAACAGAAGTTGGACATTGTGGATGAAGCCTCTGGAGGGCTGACAACAGAGCAGATCACAGCTATTAGAAGGTACACAGCCATATTGGTCTGGCTTGTAGTTAGGGGGATTGAAAGAAACTCCTTTTTGCTGGGAAAAGGTCTCCTCTGGGTAAAATTTTATCAAGGTACAGGAAAGTTTCATGGTAAAATTAAGGTCCACTTTCTCAGAGAAAGACCCCCACCCTTTTTAAATTGCTGGCTACAGGTCTGTTGGTAATCAGTATTTTTATTACTTAATTGCATTGTGTCTTTTTGAACTGCCAGATGACAGATAAGAGGAGAGGGGGAGGGATGGGCTCACAGAGGTGATTGCCTCCCAAAACCATTATTAGGCACCCAATTGTAGGGCTTTTTTACATCCTGGTCATTACATGTTATCATGCTAGGAAGTATTTTACTTGTTTTCACATTTCAGTTCACTTTCAACTGTTTGGAACAACCAGTTAGCTGGCCATGTAGAACACATGGCTCCATTTAATTGACACTTCTATAAAAAACCAAGCAATGTTGCTGTAATATTGCTGCAAACTTTTCATTTTCCTAAGGGTGGGGCATGCAGACACAATAAATCTGACTGGCAATTTGTATGCATTGCCCTTAGCAAAATGAAAAGTTTGCAGCAATGTTACAGCAACATTGCAGCAATATTGCTGCAAACTTAGTTAGTGGCAACGAGATTGCAAGAAAAATTTTATTGTTGCTAATTTGCAGCCATATTGGAGCAAATTTACAGCATACCTGATATTTGAGAAGGGTGGCCATTTCTTTCTTTCAAGGTATCAACCAGATAAAAATGAGCAGAAGACATTGAAACAGTACTCTGGTGCGGTCAGTGACCTGGACAGAGCTGACCAGTTCATGTTAGAGCTGTGCAGGATACCCCACCTGGACCTGAAGCTGGAACTGTTACTGGCCATACGGGAGCTGGCAGCTCAAATAGATGACATAGAGCCAGTGAGTCTGAGATTTTCAGTCATGCATCGTTATTAAAAGGAGAACAACTGTTCATTTTGCCCAAAAAAATTAATTTTCCTGGGGTAAAAAATGATTTTCCCATCCTTACCAATAGTTAATGAATCCATTTCTGCCTTTGAAGTTTGTCCCTGTTTTTTTTTTTTTTTTTTTTTTTCTAAAAAGTTTTTTTTTTTTTCTTGTGATAATCTCTTAAGGGGTTATTACAGAGTATAACCATCTATGGAGGTCATGTGGTCTGATGAGAAGCACAGAATTCAGAATAATTGCTAAAACTGCCGTTTTTGTGGTAAAATAAAATATTTTATATGTCTATTGGTTGTTTACAATGTATTTATTGTGAAATATGGACATATCATCTGAACAGTTGTTATTTCTTTACTTTGTTCCATGTTTTAGCCAATCAGACTTTGTCTAGTTATTTTTGTTCTTTGTTTCCTCAGGACAATTATAACTGCAGTTTTTGTGGTAAAATAAAATATATTATATGTCTGTAGGTTGTTTACAATGTATTTATTGTGAAATATGGACATATCATACGAACAGTTGTTATTTCTTTAATTTGTTCCTTGTTTTAGCCAATCAGACTTTGCCTAGTTATTTTTGTTCTTTGTTTCCTCAGGACAATTCCATTAACAATTTAAAGCAGGAAGCTTTTGTGACTTGTTTTGCTTGTTATCATATAATGAGCCTTGCTTTGAGGGAGAGGGTCCTTGAACATTCATCATTCCACTAATTCAGAAGCCAGTTCTATCAGCAAAATAAATCATTGGAAATGTGAGACAACTAAAAAACATAGTACCTAATTGGTTGACTTGATTGTTCTTGAATGCTAGTTTGGCTCCTCCCACCTTTAATGTTTACACTATTTCTCAGTATGCAGAATATTGATAGGTAGAGCATATGATTGTACATATATATATATGCCTCTGGTCGATAGGGTCTAAATTACACTAAGTGTTCCAGGTTGACCAGGTTGCTCCCAACCACCAGAACAGACCTAGAAAGTATATTTAATTAACATCATCAACTAAAATGTGGCTTCTGTAGTTTCTTTGGAGAATGGATGGCGTATAGATCTTATATTATTAGATTCTGCCATAATATATCTGATTCTCTTTCATTGGGCGCATTCAGAACAATTACGTTGATATGCAGACTAACAGTTCTTTGAATCAAATATGGTGCCGCCCACTTGAAAGCATGCCAAGATTTAATTTGTTTTCCTTTGCTGGAACGGTAAGCATGGGAGGCTAGAATCCATTGTCAAGTGGGTACCATATTTGATACTTGGACTAGTTAGTCTGCGGATCAACTTTGTTGTGGATGCTCTGTCATTGGCCCCATTCAGAATAAGGGGCTAACTAGTCCTAGGGTCAAATATGACCAACCCACTTGGATACTTCCCCAGGGGATATATCTACTCAGTGTCTACTAGCGGATTAGACGGCAAGCTTTATAGTGGGTTGCCATATTTGACCCTCGGACTAGTTAGTCCCCTATTGTGAATGGGGCCATTGTGTTATTCATGTGTCATTGCAGAGCATGGAGCTGGTCAGTGTGGCATGTGATGAACTTCTCGGCAGCCAGATGTTTGAGGTCGTCTTGGAGTATATTCTGGCTGTTGGGAACTACATCAACAGTTCAGGAGGAAAAGGAGGCCTCATGGGATTCCACCTGTCATCTCTTTTGAAAGTAAGCACAGGAAAAACAACTTATTTTACTATCCATCTTAATTCAAAAAAGGGTGTTTTTTGTGGACCCCATTGTATACAGTGTGTGCTATTTCTCTGATTAACCCGAGTAGCATTTGTACTTAAAACAATTTAAAGGAGTTCTATATTGTGTATAGGCATGATTATATTTGGCATGCAGTGTGAATTAATGTAGCTTAGTATATCATAAAAAAATTCTGGAAATTTCAATTTGCTCTTAAGCACCACCGAATACCTTATATCTAAAACCCATGGGAAATTTTAAAAATATGTGAACTGTATTTGCCATTATAACTTCATCAGATTTAAGCATCATCTCAATAATTTTTACTTAATATGCTCATTTTAATCTCAACAGTGACTCAAAAATTAGAAACTTACAGCTCAGAAATGGATTAAATATCAATAATTTTTCACGGTAGATAGTGATAAGGAGAAGTTTGTTAAATTGATTTAATTTTATGCTATATAAAAATTAAAAGACAGTTGTGTTCCTTTAGCAAAAAAAAAGAGAAATAAAAACCGAAAATAAATAAATAAATGAATAAATAAATAAATAAAATCAAAACTGTCTTAAGAGTTCAAAAATAATGCCAAGTGATGCCCTGCTGTCTAAAAAAATATATATATATTCTGTTATGTCATATTTTTGTCTAAGGACACTGTTTGGCTTTATATTCTGATCACTGTGTGTCTTTGTGCTATCGCCATCTAACAAATAAGTTGTTCAACTATAACCAGTGGTGGATTTTTTTTTTTTTTTT